GAATTATTTTATTTAACTTTATTCATTTGTTTGTTTATTTAGTTAAATTTTATCAGAGAGGGACAGAGTGAGAGAGAGAGAGGTAATATGAGAAAGCACACTGCCGTCGGCTATGTGGGAGCCCAGTGCCCTTAACCACCACGCCACCTGTTGGACCCTATTTATTTTAATTTTATCAGAGGGGTGTGGGGGGAATGAGAAAGCAAGACACCAGATCTGGGACTCCATCCACGGTCAGCCATGTGGGAGTCCAGCACCCTTATCCACCACACTATCTGCTGGCTCCCCAATATATATACATATATTTTTATTGGAGAGGTTTTTGCTATAGGGTGTGTACGTTCGTCAGAAAGAGAGAGACAGACAGAAAGCAAGAAATCACCCCCCAGTGGGGATGGCCATGCCACAATCCCTTCTCCTCCATTCTCCTCTCGGGATCTTGGGCACACACGCACACGCGCCCGGCGTGAGTTTAAGCCACCGGGTCTGAGACTCGAACCACGGTTGACTACATGAGAGTCCAGCAACATAACCATTACACTAACTGCTGGTCCCTCCCCAATATATTTTTAAAGAAAAATAACCACATTTTCCAATTAAAAAAAAAATGAGTGAAAAGAGAGACATTGTTTTAAATGTTTTTGAATAACTTTATTTATTTATTTAAATTTAATGAATTATTTTATTTTTTGGAAAGGTTTTTGCTATGCGGTGCATGTGCTCACCAGCAAGACAGAGACAGACAGAAAACAAGAAATCACCACCTGGGGTGATGGTCACTCCACAATCCCTTCTCCTCCATTATCTTCTCAGGATCTTGGGCACGCACGCACACACACCCCGCATGAGTTTAAGCCACTGGGTCCGGGACTTGAACCATGTTCAACTACATGGGAGTCCAGCGACAAAGCCATTACACCAACTGCTGGTTCCTAATTAATTATTATTATTGAAGTTGCTATAGGGCATATGCACTCACCAGAGAGAGAAAGTGAGAAAGTAAGCCACCAGGCCCAGGACTTGAACCATGGCTGGCCATGTGGGAACCCAGTGCCTTAACCACTATGGCATCTGCTGGCCCCACGAATCCCTTTAATGTCAGGCTTAAAGCACCCCTTGTGGGACTTGATCACCCCACAATCCCCTTTCCTCTACCCTGTCAGGATTGCAGGCACCCGGTGTGTTTGTTGAGCTGCTCCGGCAGGAATTGAATGGTGGTGGGCCATGTGGGCTCTGGATCCCTCCACACCGCACTTAACCAACAAGGTCCCAACGCCGCAGTCCACACCCAGCCTCAGCCAGCCCCAGATCATGAGCGGATGTGCCCGACACACAGGGAGGTCCCTGGACACCAACCAAGAACCTTTCTGTGTAGGTCACCCTCATTCAGCCACTGCACGATAGTCTGGCACTGAGACAGATCCTTTTTTTGTTCTTAGGTTTTTTTTTTTTGTTTTCTTAAGAATTATTTTCTTTAATTTTATTTATTCATTCATTTATTTTAATTTGACCAGAGAGAGATACACAGAGAGAGAGAGAGAGGGAAAGTGAGAAAGCAAGCCATCAGGTCCAGGACTCGAACCATGGTTGGCCATGTGGGAGTCCAGTGCCCTTAACCACCAGGTCACATGCTGGTCCGTTTTTAGTTTTTGCTGTAGGTTGCATGCACTTGCCAGAGAGCGAAGGAAAGTGAGAAGTCACCCACCGAGGGGCTGGCCATGCCTCAATCCCTTCTCCACTCTCTTCTCGGGATTTTGGGCATGTAGGCACACGTGCCCAGTGTGATTTTCAGGTCACTGGGTCCAGGACTCAAACTGCAGACTTGGTCATGTGGGATCCAGCACCTTTACCACCACGCCACCAGCTGGCCCCATTTAGTGTTCTTTAATTTGCTATAGGGCACATGCGCTCGCTGGGGAGAGACAAAAGGAAAGTGAGAAAGCATCCCTAGGAGGGATGCCATAATCTCCTCTCCACTCCTCCATTCTCTCCTCTCCTCCATCTTTTCTCGAGATTGTGGGCACATGTGCACACACATCTGGTGTGTTTTTCTTTTTTTAGAGAGAGATTTTTGCTATAGGGTGCAAGTATTTGCTGGAGAGACAAAAAGAAGGTGAGAAATCACCCCCCAGGGGGGATGGCCTTGCCGCAATCCCTTCTCCTCCATTCTCCTCTTGGGATCTTGGGCACACATGCACACGCGCCTGGTGTGAGTTTAAGCCACCGGGTCCAGGACTAGAACCACAATGGACTACTCGGGAGTCCAGCAATGCAGCCACTACGCCATCTGCTGATTCCTCTGGTGTGTTTTTCAAGCTACCGGGTCCAGGACTTGAACTGCACAGTCAGCCAGGTGGGATCTAGCCACCTTAACCACCACACCACTGGCTGGCCCAGCCCCCAAACTGCTGGTCTGGCCCAGGCTCAGTGGTGCAGGCGGTACAGCCAGGAGACATCTAGGGGCTGGGTTCAGATTCCGGGTAGACCTGAGCATGCTGGACAACACCTGCACATGCCAATGATCCCAGTCGGCTGGGAGGCCTGGAGGAGGGTCACAGCATGGGGAGACCCAGCCAGGGGCTCTATAAACGGATCAATAAACTGAACAACTGCTGTAAAGCTCTGTGGTGCTGGATCCACCAGGGGGTGGGGGGGTGTCCTGCGTTCACACCCCTGGCCTCTGTGTGCAAGCCAGGTACACACATGCCCAGGACCCTGGCTGGCAGAGGCTGGGCGTGGATCACAGCATGAAGACCCTGCTGGGATGCCTCTCCTTCTCCTTCTTTCTTCTCTTTTTTTTAAAAAATATTTTTTCTAAGAATTATACTTATACTTTATTCACTTATTTATTTTAATTTGAGAGAAACAGAGTTAGAGAGAGAGAGAGAGAAAGTGAGAAAGCAAGCCGCCAGGTTCAGGACTTGAACCACAGTCAGCCATGTGGGAGCCCAGCACCTTTAACCACCACGCCACTTGTCAGCCCTATCTTTCTCCTTCTCTTTTAAAAGGTATTTAATGGAGGGACCAGCAGGTGGTGTGGTGGTTAAGGGCACTGGACTCCCACATGGTAGACCGCAGTTCAAGTCCTGGACCTGGTGGCTTGTTTTTATGCTTTCTCTCTTGCACACTCTTTGGTCAAATTAAAATAAATACATAAACAAATAAAGTTTTTTTAAAAAGTTATTTCTTGGGACCAGCAGATGGCATGATAGTTATGTCGCTGGGCTCTCATGTAGTTGACCTCAGTTTGAGTCCCAAATCCAGCAGCTTGAAACTCATGTCAGGCACGTGTGTGTGCATGCCCATGATCCCGAGAGGAGAATGGAGGAAAGCATGTACCCTATAGAATAAAATCTCTCTTAAAAAAAAAAGTTATTGGAGCCAGCAGGTGGTGTGGTGGTTAAGGGTGCTGGATTCCCACATGGGTAATTGCAGTTCGAGTCCTGGACCTGGTGGCTTTCTTTCTCATT